GCTTTATTTTTCTGGTACTGCAAAAATATCCTATTAAGGAGTTATCTCAAATCAATTCAGTCTGTCACTAGGGATGAGACAAGGGTCTATTCTATCGCCTCATTTATATAACATTTATACTAAAAGCATCTTAAATGAAATAGTCTCAGAATGTAAAGTAGGATCAACAATAAATAGCATTTATACTGGTATAATTGCAACGCAGATGATGTAATTTTGTTAAGTCCAATAACCTCTGGTCTGCAAGAACTGATTAACAGATTTCAAACATACGGAGTAACAGACTTTATCAAGCTAAACACTGAGAAAACGGAACTTCTGATTTCTGGAAAAAGCAATATTTCCCACAACGTTATTCAAATTAACGGAGCTTATTTATACCTTCATAATAAAATAAAACATCTGAGTTTCAAATGGGATAATGATACTAGCAAAAACAAAATTGCAACACTGCAAAAAAAAAAAAAAAAAAAAAATTAATGATCGTATGTTTCAGTTTCAATTTGTTGCAATAGCTCTAATTGACAGTGGGATTCGTTAGTGTCAGCCGTCAACAAAAGTAGATTTGTATAATACCTTAATTATGTCGAAGCTTATTTATGGTCTTCAGCTATGCAAATAAGGTACTAGTTTTCATAGCAAAATAGACGCTGTTGGAAGAGCAGTATTAAAATTATTTTTCTGTATCTCGAAGTACAATAAAAATTATCTATATTCATTTTTTAAAATTGAGGTTATTTCAACTACTTTGCTTAAAAACAAAGTAAATCTTTTTATCAGGCTGTTGAAAAATTAAACTTGCTAATTAAGGATAATCTATCAATTACAGGCAACACAGAATAAAAAGTTCTATACAAATGAAGTGTTTGAAGCCTGCAACATACTAGAAGTGTCTCATTCTGTTTATATATCTATATTGCTTTTGAACTCAATATTGACAGTAAATTTAGCTGCAGCAGTAGGATTGGATCATAATTTCATGACCTCATTGTCTTCGTCAACATTATCGTTAACAGGTTGTGTTCGAACTTTATTTTGCCAGTCGATGTAACATTTATGTGAGTATACAGTTTCCTTCTTGACATCTTAAAATCCGTTTTAGTATCAACCCGGTCAAAGCATGCTCCTATTTAAAAAAAGTTGATTAATAGTTTGTTAGTATAGCTATTATTTGTTAAATGAGCTTTTTCAAGAACTGCAATAATACTTACTTTTAATATATGGTTGAAAGGTTAAGCTAACAGTGTAAACCTTGTTTTTCGAACCCCAAAAGGGAAAATTATTTCCAATAAATCTTTTAGCATAACCTCATAAAGAGTTTTGTCAGAATAAACATCAATCAAGTTGATACTTTTCTCCAATTTCAAATTTAAAATCATGACTCATTTAATGCCATTTTGTATGATTTGAACTTTGTCTGCAGATGTCATTTCTGAAATTTATTTGAATCGCAACCAAATAGGCATGATTTCTTTAGCAAGATCAATTATTCCAGGAGATGGGAAACATTGCGCCAACTTTTCAACATCATTTCAAAATTATGGTAGTATATATTGTCATAGAAATTCCATGGCTGGAGCAAGAAGAAGGCATAAATTAACCTTATCACTGAGCCCGAATAGTAACGCAAATAAATATATAATAATCCGTAATATATAATAATCCGTAATATATAAGCAACAGCATTTAAAAAGACAATTTTAAGATGTTAAGAAATAAAAAAAAAAAAAAAAAGTAATAAAATAATTAAAAAAAAAGAAAAAGAAATGAATAAAATATGGTAATAAAAAATGTTCTGTCTTTGGTTATAAACTGAATGTGATTCGATATATATATATTGTATATATTATTTTCCTTCAAAATAATTCAAAATTCAAATAAAATTTTTGTTCCAATATCATAAAATATATCAAGAAAATTGTAGGTAACTTCAAGAGTAGGGGAGAACCTTAATGAATGGGACAGTTTTCGTAAAATGCATTTTTTGAGGTTGATAAATTTGTTTAAAAATCACTTTGAAAATAGTTTGATAACTGTTAACTCTCGTACTATGATAAACAAAAACAAAAAAATTGATTCCGCATATGGGTATTGGTAAAAAGAGAGTTTAATAAGACCATGGCATTTGTCCTATTCATTAAGAACTACTCATTGAATGGGACAAATAAAATTATTGAATGGGACAATTCTAAAAAATTAATAAAAGAAGAGAGGTCCTAAGTAACTTTCAAGCCAGTCAAGCAGTAAGGGTAGTTTCTCCCATTAGGAAACCCGAAAAAGCTATAAATATGGCCGAATGTCTGCATATATTGACAAACCTAAAATAGTTTTATTAAAAAATATATGTATATTAAAATTAAATTAAAAACACGAATAATTGTTTTTAGTAAAACAAAAAGCGTTTTTTAAATGCTTGGATATAATTCCCAGTAATGACACATTTCCAATAGGGAAATGAGTCATTGCCTGCAGCATCCCTATGCTAAATTATAAATAAACAACTTAATACCATATAAAGTATCTAGTTTACTTTCAAAAAACGAAATAACAAAGCATCTTATTAGATATTTTAAAAATTCATTGTAGTTATGTTTAACCAAAATACAAAAATCAACAATTATTGCTTGTTGCTAAGTACATGAAATAAAAACCATCAAAGAAAGTGTAGAAGATATCGACAGTCAACTTCACATAGTTCACATTCATAATAACGCTTCTTGCTGTTATTATTACAATTACCACATATCTACCATTGATAAGTAAAACACTGAATCCAAGCAGGCCCAACGAAATTCTTCCAGTTACATTTGCATATTTTGCAAGTATTTTGTTGTTGTTGGTTTACGGGTGCATTTTTTACAAATGACACAATTAAAAAATCTGCATCAAAGATTTCTGTTTCTTTCCCTCTTTTGGGGTCAATTTTTCTTTTTAGATTTTGTGTGGTAATTTTACCAGTTTCAAAAATGTTCTTCTTATTTACTGTCTTTTCTGGAGTTTTAGTTAATATAGTACTTTTACCCTGCTTTCTTCTTTTTTTAGAATCTTTTTTTGGGGGTGCTTTAGGGTACGGATGAATGGATTCTGGACTAACTATTTTGACTGATGATTCTGAAGAATCAACTTGTTTATTTATTTCATATGATTGTTGATTATCTGGTTGTTTAATTTCTGGTTGCTCGACAAGAAGAGGTCTGTCACTAACACTAGATGATATGAAATCACTTTACCCAAATATTTGTCTATTGAGTGGATAGATCCCACATTTAGAAAACCCACTGCAAACATTTTTTATTATGAAAGACATATTATATGCTTTGCATGCTAGCTGAGGCAAATTATATATGTTAATAATTCTCCCTGGATTGGAGGCCAACCATTCATTCTGAGCCAATCTAAAATAAGATTTAAAAGGACCAAACACCGAAACATCTAAAGGCTGCAATCTATGACTGCAGTGTGGTGGAAATGTTAATAAAATCAAAAAGTTTTCTTTTGCAAATGTTATTGTTTTAGTTAGTTAAACCATAGCACATATTTGAAGACGTTTGCAAATAATCTGCAATAGCACTTTCCTCAGACACATGAAATATTTTTCTATTTCCAATGTTTACAATGTGTTTATAGTCTGGCAGCTTTTGACATCTTGCCATTTTAACAGCTCTACCTACTGCAGATTTTGATAAACTATACATTTCAGCTGCATCTCGTATGGACATACTCTTAAGAATACTTTTTACTGCATCTTCAACATCTAAAGAGTTTTTACGTATTAATTTTGTGTTTGGTTTCATCTAAAATAAAATTTAAAACTTCACAAAAAACCAAATATATGCCATATGCAAATATTTAAATACAAACATGAAATATATAATTAAAATACACACAGATATACACACACATATATATGTATGTATATGTATGATACATATACATACATACAGTATATGATATAAATACATATGTGTGTGTGTGTGTAAATAGATATACATAAATGCATATAAATACAATAAATAAATACAAAAAAATAATTATAAGTATATATATATATATATATATATATATATATATATATATATATATATATATATATATATATATATATATATATATATATATATATATATATACATATATATATGTATATATATATATACATATATATATATGTGTATATATATATATATATATATACACATATATATATATATATATATATATATATATATATATATATATATATATATATATATATATATATATATATATATATATATATAATATTTGCCATCTTTTTAATACTTTGTTATCAACAACATATCTAATTAAACATTTATCCATATTTATACATATTACAAATATCATACATCAACATATCTAATTAAACATTCATACATATTATAAATATCATACATCAACATATCTAATTAAATATTTAAAATTAATTTCATTTAATAAACTATTGATCGATTAAACTTTAAAGAATATAAAGAAAAGGGTTAGCAATATATAGTAGAAGTCAAAAGTACGCCTCGTTTTCAAAATTGATTCGGTCGCCGTAGTAATAGTTTGTGTAAAACTAGTGACTTCTATTCTAATTTTTTCGATTGAAATCTTGCGTTGTACTTTTGACTTCTAATGTAAGATTAGTGACAACCTTGTGATAACTCTGCCTAAGTGACATTCTGAAAACCACATCGTTTCCTCACTAAGAAAAAAAAATATGCAATGCATATTTTATTTACACAGTAAAATTTAAATTTTAAGTGTGTGTTTTTTCCAGATTTATAAGTACTTATATTAAAAATTGCGCATTTAATTACATTAAAGGATAAAAAAAGTAATTGTAGTCGATTCTTTATAATAAAATGTAACAACTCCGGGAGGGTGAACGATAATTTACGGCATCCGTTTCAATTTTGAAAACGAGGCGTACTTTTGACTTCTACTATATATTGCTAACCTAGTTTTTATTACAAATTTTATTTTTGTTTACAATTATGGATTTGTTGCTATCCAATGCCATTAAAGCCAAGCATTTGCCTGATATTACAAATTACAAAGCAAAGCTTCGTAATAATCTTAAAGAATTAAATTCAAACTTTCCTGTTGTAAACAAAGATCTTCTTTCTTTAAGAAATTCTGAAATGGAAGCTTTTATTCCTATGCAAAAAAAAAAAATGAAGACTATATTGTTTTAAAGTATGAGTTTAAACACGTTTTTTTTTTTTATGTTTTATTATGTTTATAAAACAATAATTCTTGACAAATAATGTTTAGTTAAATATGTTTGTTTTAGTTATATTTAGTATATATATATATATGTTATGACTTAACAGGTCAATGGAGAATGGTAACTGTCTTTATAACTCTGCTGCTTTATTAAAAAATTCATCAGATAAAACACATGAAATTCTTCGACTATTAACTTCTGTTGAGTTGTTTGAGAAAGCAACCTTTTATTTGAGATACCCAATAATCTTAAACCAAGTGGAATCTAAAAGTTTTTCCTCGCTCTCTAGTGTTTTCATGGCATGTGTTTCATTTGAGAGTTCTGATTCTTTTACAGAATTAAATGATATAAATATTGCTGAACTTATAAAAAAAGAAGCCTATAACAATTGCAGAAACAATAAATTTGCTTCTTTTCTTTGTTTAATTGCATTATCTACAGTGTTAAATAAAGAAATTCGGTCTATTTATCCTGAATTCGGACTTGAAAAATATAAAAAGTTATTTAATGTATGTATATACCCACGTGGTGATCATAAAACAAATAAAGAAATTCCGAGTATTTTATGGTATAACACTGATTGTCGCTCTATTTCCAAGGATAAAGATATGTGGTCACCAAATCATTTTGTCCCTATTGTGAAAAGAGAAGTTTTATGCTTAAAGAAATTTGTCAAAAGTGATTTAAAAAGAGGATTGTGTTCAGTTTTGCCAAGTGTTTTATCGCATTATTCTGTTAACACTAAGGTTCTTAATTTATCTTGTCAACCTCCTAAAAATCTATTTTCAAAAAAAAAAAATCATTAGTTCAATCTCACATAAAGTTTGGCATAAGTAATGAAAATAAAATTATAGATGTAAATATTGATATAACTCCTAATCCAATCTTACTTAATTGTATTCCTTGTTCATCGGATCAGTCTTTAAGCCTTCCTTTTTATGATGTTTCTACTTACTATGAGCGCGGTAGAAAACTATCTGCTGGCAAAGATGATTCAATGTTATTAGATCTAGTTAATAAAATATTTATTCCTAACTCATCTTTTGTTTTTCCTATTTCTGGTGAAAAAAAGAAACAATCATTTTTACATAAATGGCTACTTGAATATTCCTGGTTAGCTTACTCACAGATTGAAGATGGAGCATACTGCCTTCCATGTACACTGTTGGGAAGCAGAATTCCAAACAATACCTTAATAATCAACTTCATTCGAAAACCTTTTAAAATATGGGGTAATGCAATTCGTGCTTACATGGATCACAATAATAATTGTCGACTTCATCAAATGTCAATGCATTGTCTTAACATGCTGCAATCTAGATCTAATTCAAAAAAAAATCTGATTGAAGTTGACATCGATAATCAGAGAAAAAAACTTATTATAAGTAATCGAAATAAATTAATTCCAATTATAAAGACAATTATTTTTCTTGGCCGCAATGATATTGCTTTTCGAGGTCATCGTGATGACAGTAAGTATCATCCAGAGATCGGAGAAACATGTAAAAACAACATTGGTATAGGTAACTTTGTAGAGCTTTTAAATTTTCGCATTGAAGCAGGTGATAAAGTTCTTGAGCACCATATTCGTTCTGCTCCTAAAAATGCAACCTATATATCTAAAACCACACAAAACGAACTTATTGAATGCTGTGGAAAAACAATCGAAGAAGTTCTAATTAATAAAATTAAAAATTCAGGTTATTTTTCTATCTTGTGTGATGGAGCCTCTGATTGTTCTAATGTTGAACAGCTTTCTCTATTTATAAGATACATTGACTGTGATAATGTTATTTGTGAAGATTTTCTACTGTTCATTGAATGTAAATCTGGTAAAACTGGTCTTAGTCTTGCGCAAAACATAGTTTCTGCAATTGATGATCTTGGTCTTGATATCCAAAAATGTAGAGGTCAAGGATATGATGGTGGTGGGGCAATGTCTGGTAAATTAAAAGGTATTTCATCAAGAGTTAAATTTATCAATTCAAAGGCTATTTTTGTTCACTGTGCATGCCATAAACTTAATTTAGTTGTAAGTAAATCATGCAATGTTCAGAGTGTTAGAAATGTTCTTGATCAAATCAAAGATATATCATATTTTTTTAACTTATCACCTAAACGTGCCAGCTGTCTTAATAAATTCATTTTTCCTGGTCAAGCAAAATTAATCAATACATATCGAACTAGATGGGTTCAGAAACTTCAAGGTCTGGATGTTTTTTTTGATAACTACATATCTGTTTTTCATTCAATGGAAGAAATGGCATACAATGAAGGTAAGAGTTATAATATTGATACTTCTTCAAAAGCTTCATGTTTTTTAAATCTTATGACTAATTTTTCTTTTATTGTAAGTTTAGTTTTAACCAAACAAATAATGGACTATTTCTATGCTATCACTGTTGTTCTCCAAACTAAAGCGTTTGATATATCACAATAGTGTAATGAAATAAATTGTTTAAAAACTCAAATTTTAGATTCAAAAAAAAATATTGATTTCTATCATAACGAATGGTACTTAATTGCTCTTGATCTAGCTAAGACTCTTGATGTTTCAGAAGTTAAACCAAGGCTCTGTGGCAGACAAGTTTATAGAGATAATTATCCCTCTGACACAGTTTCAGATTATTTCAAATATTCCATCACATCTCCTATTCTAGATTATTTAATTAATGAATTAAAAGATAGATTTGATATAGGTGATATGGTTGTTTACAAACGTTTATCTGGTATTCCTGCAACTGTTGTAAAAAAAAATAAAGAAAAATGTTTTTGGAAGTTGGAATTTATGGATTTTTTGCATTTTTATATATCGGATATGCCTCATCCTACATCAATTCATGCTGAATTAGATTTGTGCGAAACATTTTGGAACAATCAATCTGTGATCCCATCCACTATTACAGAAACTTTAAAATCTATTGATATGAGGGGTTTCCCAGACATTAGGGAAGGTTTTTTAATAATGGGAACAATTCCAATTACTACATGTGAATGCGAGAGGAGCATTTCTGTTATATGCAGACTGAAAACTTTTATGCGAAGTCGCATGACAGAGTCAAGATTTAATTCTTTAGCTCTGATGTCTATTCATCAAGAAATAATTCCTGATGTAGAAAGAGTTTTGAATATTTTTTCTGTTTTAGGGGAACGACGCTTAGAGTTGGTTTTTACCTAATATTAATTTATTAATTTCTTTTTTATTTATTGAATATATTCTTGTATTTTAGTTTGTTTTATATTTAAGTTTATTTTACATTTCATGAAAATTAGAAAAAACAAAATTAAAAATTAAAAAAAAAAATATTTTTTTAAAAAAAATTGGCCTAACTGCCTATCAAGAAAAGGAAAGAATCCAGAAATGGAGGGCTAACCTAAGGCAACAATATTAATACTTTACATAAACTGCCTTTCAAGAAAAGGAAAGAATCCAGAAAGGAATGGCTAACCTAAGTTAATAATATTAATAATTTACATTAACTGCCTGTCAAGAAGAGGTAAGAATCCAGAAATGGAGGACTAACCTTAGGCAACAATACAATTACTTTACACAAACTGCCTATCAAGAAAAGGAAAGAATCCAGAAATGGAGGACTAACCTTAGGCAACAATACAATTACTTTACACTAACTGCCTATCAAGAAAAGGAAATAATCCAGAAATGGAGGGCTAACCTAAGGCAACAATACAATTACTTTACACTAACTGCCTATCAAGAAAAGGAAATAATCCAGAAATGGAGGGCTAACCTAAGGCAACAATACAATTACTTTACACTAACTGCCTATCAAGAAAAGGAAAGAATCCAGAAATGGAGGGCTAACCTTAGGCCACATGACAGTTTACAGATGGAGTGCAAAGTCCTATGGCTTACCTTCTCGTTGGTGCACTTCGTTAAATAGGTTAGACAAGTAAAAAATGTCTAATTTATGAACAGAATAGCCAAGGCAATATTGTTGTTAGTTTTGTTTTATATGGGTAATTAAGAACAATGCCCGGTAAGTAATAATAAAGTACTGATGCCGCTTTTAACTCCTCCCCCCCCCCCTCTCACTAGCCCGGGGAAGGGGCTTACAAAAAAAATGTTGCAAACTATTTTGGCAACTTGAAAAAAAACAGGCAACACCCACAAAAAATCCTGCATCCGCCCCTGATTATTCATATTATCAGATTCTAATTTTTATCTTTCTCATTTTGAAATGATTTCTCTTGAAAGGCAAATAAGTAAGTGCGGCGGTGGAGTTCTAGTTTACGTTCATGAAAATATTAGGCATTGTTGTAGAAATGATCTTTGTGTTTGTGACGGCGATGGAGAAATAATAATAATTGAGATTATTAATGAACGAACAAAAAACATTTTAATTAGCTGTTGTTATCGACCGCCAGATGGCGTGAGCGAGAACTTGAGCATGTTTTTACAGCAAAAAGTTATTGCGAAAGGTAACAACGAAATAAAAAAAAAACTTTTCAGTTGGCGACTTTAATATAAATTGTTTTGACTACAATGACGATAACAAAGTTAGAAACTTTTATGATGCAATTTTTGAATCTGGAGCAATTCCTTTAATTAATCGTCCAACAAGAATAACAAAAAATTCAGCAACTTTGCTGGATAATATTATTTTTACAAACTTGTTCAACAGTGATATAAAATTGGGCATCCTAAAAACAGATATTTCTGACCACTTTCCTATTTTTCTAACCATAAACACTGACCAACCGCCTAAATAAAAATTAAATAAAGTTATAAAAAAACGTTTTTTAAAACCATCAAATATTGAGTCTTTCAAAAATCAGCTCTCATTATTACATTGGAAACACTTAAACTTTAATGAAAACGCAAACAACCTTAATGAAAAGTTCTTTGAAACATTCACCTCTGTTTACGAATCTAATTTCCCAATTGTTACAATTACATTAAAAACAAAACACTTTAATAATCCCTGGATTACCAAAGGATTCAAAAAATCGTCCAAAACTAAACAAAAACTATAGATAAAATATCTAAAAACAAAAACCCCAGCTAGCGAAAAAATTTACAAAGATTACAAAAATCTTTTCGAAAAAATTCGAAAAAATTAAAAAAAAACTTATAAAGTTAAAAATAACTCAAAAAGCACTTAACTAGTATTGAAAGAAATTACTGGAAAACAAAAAACATGCTCAAGCTCTTTGCCACAAATGCTTAAAGTCGATAACAATAGCTTGTATGAACCACAAGTAATAGCTCATAAATTCAATAAATATTTTACTGAAATTGAATCAACTCTGTCAAGTAAAATACCAAAAACCCAAACCTCATTTTATGATTTTTTGATACCTATTGATAAAAGTATTTGCTCTGAAGAATTATCTGCCGAACTATCATTTGATGAGTTTGAAAAAGCTTTCAAATCTTTAAAAAAAATAAAGCACCTGGTGCAGATGAAATAAACGGAAATATTGTTATAGATTGCTACGAACAAATAAAAAATATTCTTTTTAAAATTTTCAGAGCATCTATTCATCAAAGTATTTTTCCTGAACGTTTAAAATTTGCCAGGGTTACCCCTATCCATAAAGAAGGCGACAGATCCAATATCAGTAATTATCGTCCCATCTCTGTTCTTTCTATATTTTCTAAAATTTTAGAAAAAATTATCTTGAATAGGGTATACAATTATTTTAATTACAACAACCTACTTTATAACAATCAGTATGGTTTCAGAAAAGGGAGTTCAACTGAACATGCCATTATTCAATTTATACATAACATCTCTGAATCTTTTGAAAAATTCCAATATACATTAGGTGTTTTTATTGACCTATCAAAAGCTTTTGATACGGTTGATCATCACATTTTAATCCAAAAAATTAAACATTATGGTTTAAACGATAGAATCTTAAAATGGTTTGAAAGCTATATAACAAATCGAAAACAACTTGTTTATAGTAATAATGGTCAGGAAAGTGAACCCCTAAGCATAACCTGTGGTGTTCCACAAGGTTCTATTCTCGGACCACTACTATTTTTAATCTATGTAAACGACTTAAACAAAGCTTCCAAATTGAAAAGTACAATGTTCGTTGATGCTACTAATCTTTTCTTATCCCATACTGATATTTATGAACTCTTTTCAACTACAAACAAGGAACTAAATCACATTTCTAATTGGTTCAAAGCTAATAAATTAACTTTAAATATTAACAAAACAAAATGGAATATCTTTCACTCCTGCGCAAAAAAACGTTTTTTACCAAGTAATATGCCTCAAATTTATATTGATGAAACGATAATAAAAAGAGATACTGTTATAAAATTCTTAGGTGTTTACCTTGATGAGAATATTACTTGGAGAAAACATATTGATCATATAAGCACAAAAATTTTCAAAAATATTGGCATTTTATACAAAGCCCGAAATTATCTAAACAAAAAAAACTTAACCCAACTCTATTATTCATTTATACATAACTATATAAATTATGCAATCATCGCCTGGGGAAGTACGAATATTACAGTAAATTACAACATCTTAGTAAGTAAATTACAACATCTTTATCGCCGTCAGAAACATGCAATCCGCGTAGTTAATTATGCGGATCGCTTTTCACATTCAAAATACTTTTTTGATTATATGAAGGTTCTAGATGTTTATAAACTGAACATATTTAATGTCTTATGTTTTACTTTTATATGAAAAAACGATTTATCTTTATTTGTTTTTAACGACCTTTTTTCTTTAAAACCAATAAATAAATACACATTAAGAAATAATAGTTTTTTAAATAAACCTTTTTGTAGAACTCAGTTCAATCAGTTTTGTATTGCATATCGTGCACCCCATTTTTGGAATAAAATAGTATTACCAAATTTTAATACTTCTATTACTCTTCCTGTTTTTAAAATTAAGTTAAAAAAATTTATTCTCTCTATGGACAACATTTTAAAATTCTACTAAAAATGTATGTGAAATGTATTTGTTAAATCTTCAACTTATTATATATTAAAATGTGTTGTATTTTGCATAATGTAAATACGTTAAATTTTCTCTCTCTCTCTCTCTCTCTCTCTCTCTCTCTCTCTCTCTATATATATATATATATATATATATATATATATATATATATATATATATATATATATATATATATATATATATATATATATATGTTATAAATAAATATTTTTACTTTTTAAGGTTCCGATGATAAGATCCTTATGATCTTTTTTCGGAAACCTAGTTTTATATTGTTAGTACGGCTTAAATGTATTACGACTTATGTTTATGTAATACGACTTATAAATTTTGTAACAATACTAACATTGTAAACTGAAAAAATAGATAAATAAAAAAATATGCAATTGCAGCTGCTTAGCTAAAAAATGTTAATTGGAAGAAGCAAAAGTGGATGGCGTGGTGCCAGTAAGATGGTATCGATATGATCTAGTCTTAATTAAGTTAGTCGCAGGTAAGTGTTTAAAAAAAGTTTCACCATTTATTTTTAGACTAATTTTTTAATGTTTGTGCTTGAAAAACGTTGTTTAAATTGTTATGAGTCTGCAACACTTAAATTCAGCGAAATTTAATTAAAAAATCATGTTATAGAAGACAGAAAAATATCAATATCTGTTTTCAATAACTTGGTTTTCATAGCAAATCTGAGAGGCGCAAATGTTTAGCTTGATTTAAGTACTACATAATAAAATACATTGTTGTACAGTCATTTTGATGGTTGTAAATTTATTTAGCAAACTCATTTTAATATATTTTTAGACTGTTTACCGTTAAACTCCTGTCACAATCTAATCTAGTGGGTTCAAAAAGAAGCGACCGCGCTGGAAACATGAGTGGATTAAAAGGATCAGCCCTTTTTGAATTAACAGTTGGTAAGTATAATGTGCTCCGCTCAGCTAATCAAGTTTCGCTTGCTTTTTTTGTATAACATTTAAGCAACAGACTGTTTTTTATGTTTCACTCGTTTTTTAGAAGTGGTAATCAGCTAGAAGTCCTAACCTGCTTGTATGAAAGGATTTCTCGACGTGAAATTGTTAATTTTAATCAACAACGCCAAGAAACAGAGCTCGCTCAAGAAACAGAAAAGAAAGAGAAAGATGAAAAAATATTCTGATGAACAATACTATTGTTTAATTTATAAATTATTCTCCTATTTTTAAATATATAAAAGATGTAGAAAATGCTTCTTCTTTTATATTGACATCTAAAAGAGGTTTTTTTCTCGGCATCGGAAAAAGCTTTTTGTCATACTTTGTATGAAGAGCTATTATCATTTTCATTTGAAAAAAACAGCTTTTCATATAAGAAAAGTAGAAATACTATAGTGTATAAGATACTATAGTATACTAATAAGTATGGCAAAAAAGTCGTTCGAGAAAAAACACTTTTTTAGATTTGCATTTTAGACAAAAAAAAGGCGTCTTAAAGGCGCATTTTTTATGTCTTTTCATGACAAGATTAAGGATAAAAAAAGACATCTTTTCGATGTCGAAAAAAGATGTCTTTTAGATTTGGATATTCGACTAAAAAAAGGCGTCTTAAAGACGCATTTTTTTTGTCTTTTCATGACAAGATTAAGATAAAAAAAGACGTCTTTTTGATGTCGAAAAAAGATGTCTTTTAGATTTGCATAATCGATTAAAAAAAGACGTCTTAAAGACATTGTAAATAAGACTTTTAAAGACGTCTTTTCGACGTCTTTTTTCCCACAGGGAAATTTTTTATTGATTGTTTTTTAGTTTTTTTAAATATATTTTTATAAAGTTTGTAGTTTGTTTCATTTTTATACGTTTTTTTTGTTAGAGTTTTTTATACAACTTTTTTTTTTCTTTTAACAATTTAATAAACCTTTAGACATCCATGGAGCTTAATATGACTTGGTATATATAACAATTTTTTTCTCAGGCAAAGCTTTTTCATAGACATTATTTACCTCTACCGATTGCATTATAAGATCCCAATCAACGTTATATTTTAAAAGGTGTTGACATTTTTGTAAGGAGTATTTATTGATTTGCCGCCTGTATATTAGAAATTTAGAAGAAATATTATTAATAGTTATTTTATTAGTTATTAATTATACCATTTTTATTAGTTTTGATTATACCTGTGAAAATAAAGTTGTTATAAAAATTGTTAGTGATTATATTATCAAGTAAAGTAGAAAAATTCTTAGTTATTCTGGTTGGCTTATTTATTGTTGGAATAACATATATATATATATATATATATATATATATATATATATATATATATATATATATATATATATATATATATATATATATATATATATATATATATATATATATATATACATATATATATATATATATATATATATATATATATATATATATATATATATATATATATATATATATATATATATATATATATATATATATATATATATATATATATATATATATATATATATATATATATATATATATAATTAATTTTTATTATTGTACAACTCGTAAATATAAAATTATTTTCTAAAAATTCTTATGCCGATGTAACAACAACCGCATCTTTTTGATTAACGCAAATTGCGGTTTTTCTGACTGCAATCGCGCTAACTAACGTAAAATGCGGTTGACTTAAGAGAAAAAAAAAATACTGCAGGACATGATTTATGATTATTGCTTACAGAAATTGTTATTATCTGTAGCAATAACTCGCCCACCACAAGCTTTTATAATTTTTTTTGTTCCACTAAATTATACATACTTTTAACATAATAATGTCTAGGAGAAATAGTATTCGATAGTTTGTTAGTATTGAATAGCTTTTTTCAATTATATGTTATATCGGGACAAAAAATTTGATGTAGCCTTAATCAAATCATTAAATGACCTTGTGTGTCATTTAATGATTTGATTTATGAGATGGCAGAAATGTGGTTTGTGTGAGGCTAAGGTATTTATATAGTATTTAGGTGATAGTATAGCAAGGTATACATATGACTATTATGCTTAGTTGAACATAAATTACGATAATAATAGTAAGGTAGGATAGTAAGGTATTTATATAGTATTTAGGTGATAGTAATATAAGGCCCACATATAACTATTATGCTTAGTTGAACATAAATTACGCCATGCTCCAAAGAGAGGGCAGGGGGTTAATGGTTTTGTAACGACTCGGGACTTATTACTAAAGTGTTACCATTTTGTGACGAGGGCGGGGGGGGGGGGGAAGGGGTTGATTTAAAAAGGTCGAAAATTGAGTGACGTAATTTATGAACAGCTTCAGGGTTTTACAATACAATTACAATTACAATACAATAATATTGTATTGCAATACCAGAGATGCAATTAAAACATTATTTATGGTTCCTGTGAATAAAAACAGTTACAATAACTATTGTATTGTTTTTTTTTCTAACAATACATTGAAGTTCTAAAACTATTGTATTGTATTGTTGTGATGTAAAACAATTACATTACCTATTGTATTGTATTGCTGTGATGTAAAACATTTGCAATAACTATTGTATTGTATTGCTGGGATAAAAAAAATTACAATAAATATATTGATGTATTGTATTACTATTTCAAAGTCTAATAGCTATTGTATTTTATAGTATTTAGACTCTTTTATCACGCATTTATTATTATTTGGGCACTAGATAATTTAGGGGTGCCCGTGACGCTCGTTTTCAGCAGTCATTTATTTATATAAATTTTATTTGTTTTTAGAAGTGAAGTGAGGCCGGGGAAGCCAAAGAAGTATATATACTACGTAAACTTAATAAATATTTGGTTCAAGGGCGCTCGTGGCACCCATTTCTAGCAACCATTTACATATATAAATTTGATTTATTTTGAGTTCAATAATATAACTGTTTAAATAATAATTTATTTAGAATTAACATTAATAATATTCATTCAAAATCATACAAATATATAATTTATCATTTGCTTGTAATTAAATAGTATTTACTATAAGAAGTTAAATTTTATATTTTTTTATAATTTTGTCTAAACTGATATTGACATGTTTCACAGGATGATGACGTCTAAACTAATTGATCAACTACATTAAGCGCTTTTTTTTTTCAATATATCTAACCGCTAATGTTTAATCAATTACATCGTTATGGAATCAAAGAACCTTTGACCTGGGTAATTATCGATTAGATTATCTAAATATGTGAACTACTTTTGTTTTGTTAAATTTTTTTTTACATTTTCAGATTGTTCATTGCCTATCAGACTGTACCAGTAAATTTTGTATGGATCATTTTTGAAAAATGAGGCAGTTTAGAACACCAAATAAATATTGTTCTTGATTTATGAAACAAATCTCTTTTATAACTTTGCAACTAGATGTCCAGTTACTTTATGAAACACATGTAGCCGTAAAGCCGAAGGGAAACAAAAGACAAAGTTATATTAGAGTAAGTGTAAGTTGAGTAAGTTTCGAAACAATTGGATAGGTGCCTAATGTAAAAGCAAATAACTTAGTGAAAGAAATGGTAGTAGTTAATCATGTCTATCCCCAGCAGTAAAAAAAATACAGATCCAATTAAACTCACTTTTATAGAGCTATACAAAGTTTATAAAATAAAAAAGTAACAAAATCAATACTTATATATTAGTTGTACCCTATTTCAAAGTCACTTAACTCAGAGACTGGACTGTTAAAATATTTATTAAATTTTGACGCTAAAATAATTTTTTTTATTACAATAACAGTATATTGTTATTGTATTATAAAGACGAATTACAATACAATATTTATTGTTATTGTAGTGGGTCATTACAATACATTTTTTTTCAGATATTGATATTGTTTTATAAAGATGATTTGCAATAAAATATTTATTGTTATTGTATCACATTATTACAATAGTTGTAAATCACAAATATTGTTATTGTTTCTAAATTAATTCAATACAATAACAATAGTTATTGTTACTGTTATTGTTTTCATTACAATTACAATAGTCCAAAACCTAATCAGCTAAGTATAATAAGTAATAACTATACACAAGGTCCACACATACGTCATCCCATTAATTAAGTGTAGCTATCAAATGTGGTACGCATCAATTTTTTTTTTTGGGATTCTTTTTATAACATTTTACATCTTCTTTTTACGCCATCATTTGGCGTCATTTTTTTCACCCACACTTATAATTTTATAATGAAACTTTTGCTAAATTTGTAAACTCATTGAAATCAGAAAAATGTTAATGTTATCCAACTTTTTTCCGATTTCACTTATAAGTGCTCGTGCAAGCAATAATATTGATGCATATTGAAAAATTTAGCGGAAGATAATTTTAAAAATAGCTTGAAAAGCATTTTAAAATTGTTAATATTTCGGACCCTTTGAAGCAAGTTACTAATTATTTTAAATAGATAATTTTACCGAGAAATATTCGAATAAAAAATGGCTGCAGGCTGCAGATCGGACTTGACTGGCCAGAATTTCTCACTTAAAGCTCAACAGGTACTCGGGCAATGCACTAGCAAGGTAGTTACCTGATCTTATCAAATATTTTTTACAAATAATAGTTTTTAATTTTAAAATATTTATCTATTATATTATAATATAAGAAAAACTAAATATTGGAGTTTGTTAACGTTCTTGTTTTTGTTATGATAATATTTTTGTTTAATTTTTGGTACTTTTAAGTTTTATGGCAACTACTATAAAATTGTTTGGGAAGACTCTTGGGTTCCTGCTGGTGTTTTGTCGTTGGTTCCCGATCTTATCGAACGTTACCACAAAAACATTGAAAATAAGGTCCATAATTATTTTATATTAGTTTCGTATGTTATAATAATGATGCTTTTAATAATCAATAATAAAATATAGAGTTTCCGAGCTTATTTCAACATCAAATTTAGAGATGTTTTTTAAATTTGACATTGTATAAGTACATTTCAATAATGTTGCATTCATTTTTTTCACCATTACCAATGGGTATTCTACTGAGTTGTATTCAATTTCGGCAATGCTAAGAATACTTTAATCTATCAGAAATAGTTATTCCTTGAAAAAAAGCCTGTGATTTGTGCGTATTTGTGTGTGTGTGTGTGTGTGTGTGTGTGTGTGCACATGTATGTATTTAAATCTACATATTTAATCTTATGAAAAACTTAATTATGATTATAGGTAATTAAAATTGCCACATATTTGTTAAATTTTTATCTTCTAATGTATATGCACATTGCTATTCAGTATTGCAGAAAAGTTATTGTTTCAATTGTGAGTAAATCTGTATTGTAAAAAAGATTTTATTAAAAGAGTTTGTAAAAAAGGTTTCATTAAAAGATTTAAAGGTTGTCAAAAATGAGGCAATTTTTTTTTGCTTCTGTTTTATAATTATAGTTATTCTCATCTCATTATTTTATTTTGTAGAAAATTTTTTTTTTTTGTATTTTATTTTTACTGATTTTATTTGAACCTCTTGAAATGTGATAAACTTATATAAATGATTTTTAAATACAAGTAATTTAAATAAATAGATTAGAATTATTAATAAGCTCAAAAAATTGTTTTTTAAAAAAATTTTCATTCAAGTTTTTTGGTTTTTGTATAAACTTTAGTTAAATAGTTTAGGTATAAATAGTTAGATATAAAAAGTTGTGCTTGGTGAAAACCAGTCTGACTGGAGTCCAATCAGTAGTGGTGTAATACAAGGATCAGTACTTGGACCGCTTTTATTCACAATATTCATAAACGACCTTCCTTGTAAACTTTTTCCTCCTAATAAAAATATACTTTGACGATAGTAAAACTCTTGCTGAGCTGGACAAAATTGAAATACTTAGAAACAAATGGTAAAATAGGTAAATGGTGTCAGGAATGGAAGATGAAACTTAATATAAGTAAATATAAAATAATGCATTTTGGTAATTGAATCATACAAGAAATTATACGATCTTTGACTCAAATTGAAGGCTCCTATTCAGAAAAAGATCTAGGCTTTATGACATCTACTGATGGAAAAAACAGCCAACATATCAATTACTGTGCCAACAGAGCTAACAGAATGCTTGGTTTAATTAAACACACATTTGAATTCTACACCTCCTCAATTGCTGAAATATCATATAAAGCCTCTGTTCGACCGCTATGAAATATGCAGCTCTAATCTAGAATCCATCAAAGAAATATGTTATAGCAGCTCTTGAAAAAGTTCAAAGAAGAGCTACTCGAACAAGGAGCCTCTCACATCTAAGTTATGAATCACGATTAAAAAGGTTTAGTATTGCAACGCTAGAAATGTATAAAATAATAATAAAAATATATAAAATTTATAATAAAAGTTTTAAAATTTTTTTTAGCAATCTTTGCAAAAAAGTATTTAAATTTTTAACACTAACCTAAATCAAATAATGTACAAATTTCTTGTAAACACATTGTTGACCAATAATCAAAGTAAACATTGGCATTATATTAAATTACTAAACAACCAAATTGTAAGTTTTCCTAAACAGCAAGTGTATGTTCTCAAGTATCAATAAACTGATAATTTTGTAATACATGTTTGTTAAAAACTTATGAGAAGTTTTAGATTTACTTAGAAGAGTCTTGTAAATGTTCTTGTAAATTTCAGGTTTTTTAGAATATTGTTGAAAATTTTAATTAGTAGTATTTTATTTTTATTAATAATTAGTAGTATTTTAAAAACAAGTTTGCAAAAATAAAACTTTATGTTGCAAAATGTTTTTAAAAATTCATGAAAAGTCTTGTCTATTTAAAACCCAATATTAAAATTTTTTGAGGAATTTTTGTCCATATTGGTAAATCATGTCCACTTGGTAAGAATGGTTTGTGTATCAATGAAAAATGTTGAAATAAAAAATTTATCATAGAAAAGAATTTCATGTGGTTATCTTTCATTAGAAGGACTTTTAGAAGACATAAATTTTTGTATTGCAAGATCCAGTTGACTATTTTTCCATGAAACCTTACATTTTTATGAATTATTGTGTGCTGCATAATTTAAGACATAGACAAAATAACATATTTTATGTTATCTTTAGGTTAATTTGAAAATTATAATAAAAATGAGTTAACAAGTTAGTTGTTTTTTTGCTGTGAGTTATACTTCATAACACTTTTATAGTAAACCCTAAAAATTTTGGTACATCGCTTAAAAATTTGCGTTGAACTTTTAAGCTAAGAGGATGGTACACCGTAAACTACTTGCGAGATTTTATTGAACTGATTCCATTTTGTACTCTGATTTTTTTTCCAAGACATTTTTAGATTTTAAAATATATGCAAATTTTTTGGATTCAATAGCAACTTTTTTTCATGATGTTAACACATCTTCAAACATTAAAGTTATTTTCTTATTTTTCCAATCACAGTTTCTAATTGAGCTGCCAAAGTCTCATTAAACTGTTGACCTTCTTGAGTAATTATGCTTAAGTTTCTGTCAACTAATTGCCTGTCCTTGATATATCTACAAATAATTGTCCTTGATATATCTGCAGCCAACTCCAAACAGGTTTCTTCCATACTGAGATGCACAATCAAACATCGACGATATAAGAACATTTTCAGTTTTTTTCTCTTATGTAAAAAATATTATGATAACGATTCTGTATACTTGTTCCATATTAAGTTGAAAAATTAGTATTTTAAAAAGCAAGCAAAATAAACGCATGCATTACAAAAAAAATTTAACATGTTTAACAAGTTCATTCAAGAATAAAGAAACAAATCAATACAAAATTATAGAACAAAAAAAAGTTCAGGCTAACAACATCCGTTTTTGCTGTCTAATAACATCTGTCCAACAGTATCTGAAATTTCATCAATGTATAATAACATCTGTCTAACAACACCCAAAATTTCATTGATGTATAATAACATCCGTGCAATGTATATATATATATATATATATATATATATATATATATATATATATATATATATATATATATATATATATATATATATATATAATATATATATATATATATATATATATATATATATATATATTTTATTTGCATTCACTCCCAACAAGGCTGCAAGCAACCACTATTAAGTTGGGAGTTACTAGGAAAAAAAAGTTATAGAGCAAGGAAATGGTTGTCAGAAGACTTAAAAAGTTGAAGGTTGTATGAGTCAGGAAAACATGAAGATGGGAGAGAGTTCCAAAGGATTAAAGTGCGGGGAAAAAAACTAGATGAATAAAAGTTTTTAGAGCATGCAGGGACAGATACAGTAAACGAATGAGACTTAGCTGAATGACGAGTAAAACGAGAATGAATTTTAGTTGATGGAACTAGAGATGATGAGATGCAACTTTACGACGATGGGAAAGAAGTTCAAGCTTAGCAGATAGTCCTGGTCCAACAACATTTACAATGCGTTTTTGGACCTTGTAAAGAAGAGAAAGTGAATCGTTAGTAGAACCAGCCCAAATGTGACAACAGTATTCCATACAGGGACGAATAAGAGATTTGTAGAGGTAGAGAATAGAATCAGAAGTAAGGAAATGGCGAGCACGATAAAGAGAAGCTAATTTAGCAATCGATTGTATATATGGTTTCCATAAAAGGTCAGTAGTAAGCAATAATCCAAGAAGACGTAAAGTGGAGAACTCAGTAAGAGGATTGTCATTCATTAATATAGGAATGTTGACCATATTACGGTAGTTATTTGCAGTAAACAACTGAGTTTTGTTAGAGTTTAAATTTACAAGCCACTGTGAACCCCAATCTATTACTGAAGTGAGATCCGATTCAAGATCAGCTGCTTGTTCTAGGCGATCAAAAAGAGAAGGCTTTTTGTCAAGACAGGAGTATAAAGTTAAGTCATCACCAAAAAGAGCTACTTTAGATGAAAGGTTGTCAGGAAGACTGTTTATGTAAATAAGAAACAAAACAGGGCCCAGGATGGAACCTTGGGGAACCCCAGAAGTTACTGGAAATAAAGAAGAGTGTTGGCCTTCAAGGATGACTTTAATAAACCCGTTAGAAAGAAATGATTTGATAATCTCAAAAACTTTCCCAGAAACACCATATGAAGCAAGCTTATGGAAAAGACCAGCATGCCAAACTTTGTCGAAAGCTCTAGATATGTCGAGAGCAATAGTCCTAGCCTCACCGCCTTCATCTAATGCACGATAAAATCTTTCAGTTACAGCATTTAGCAAGTCGGCCGTAGAGCGAGAGGATCGAAAACCGTATTGATTGTCTGACAGTAGTTAATTGACTCAAGATGAGATGTGAGGAATTTGTTGATCAAAGACTCAAAGACCTTGCTAATAACAGAAAGAAGACTGATCGGACGATAATTGGAGGGGTCAGAATTTTCTCCAGAGTTTTATATTGGAACCACAGATGCTATTTTCCAACAAGCAGGAAAACAAGACTCAGTAAAACACTTGTTAAATAGTTTATATAGAATTGAAGAAAGTTCTGGAGAACAATTCTGTAAGACTGTGACAGGAATGTTGTCTGGACCACAAGCTGTAGACGAGTTTAATTGAGATATGACTTTAGCAACAGAAGCTGGAGTGATTTGAATGTCTAACAATGGGTCAACCTGTTTGACTGGAATGGAAGGAAGAGAATGTCCATAAGATTCAAGAGTGGAATTAGAAGAAAAGTTCTTTTCAAATAGTTCTGCCTTATCCTTGGGTGAGGTAATAAGATCAGTCCCATGAATGAGAGATGGAATGTTAGATCTACCCTTGTTAATAATGCTGTTGAGGATTTTCCAAAAGTCTTTCAAGGGTTGAATTAACGCATCGCGATTTGCGATATCTGTTAAATTATCTGGTCTTCAAAGTTTAAGTTTATGGAAAACCACGAAATTTATGGAATAGGCGAATAAACTTTAATTTGTTAGTGAAAATGTTATGAAAAACAAAACAATAAATTTATTACTACAAAAGTAATAACACTACAGTGTTGTTACTTTTATAACACTCTTTTAAGTTACAATTATAGTTTATTGTTTGATCAAACAACACCTAATCAAGATATTATAAATAAAAATGATTTAGTTAAGTAATTCCAAACTTTAATTAAAGTAGTAATGCATCTAAAAAAATACAATGGATATTTAAACAATGTTAAAAACCTCAGCAACTTTTACGTATACATATTTTTATAAACAGTTTAGCATTTTTAAACATCTTACAAACGGTCCGGAAAAAACGCGCGTTCACTTTAAAATCAACCAATGAAAACACTGGTAATTTACTTCTTAGGAGAAATCTATATTAAAAGGGGAGGGAGGGGGAGGCTAAAAACTTAAATTTTGTTTTATTATTTAATCAATTAAATCATAATAAAAGTAAAGACAAAAAAATATATTTCTAAATATACTTCTTTATAAGTAAAATTTATTAAATTGAACACCTCTGTTTTAAGTTTTAAGTAAATGTCAGTACTACTCTCAGTGGCGAAACTGCGGGGGGGGGGGGGGGAGAGGGCTTTGGTTAACAGACAAAAAGTGTCCTGATTTTAAACTAATTTTAGATTGCATGGGCGATATGGGGCTGATTTTGAAAATCGTGTTATTTATTTATAACAAGTCACTTGTTATAAAAAAAAAACTATATCTTAAAACAAAAATTCAGTGAAAATTGGCCTTAAAATTGAAAAAAATATACATTGGTAACTGATAAATAATAAAACTTTCATTGTAAATCCTCCCGCTTTTTTTTATTATTTCCTCCTCCCATTTTATACATCCTGACTAAAATTCTCACCCCCACCTACCTTTATATTAAGCACATAAGAGTAGTCAGTAACAAAATCCCCCCCCCCCTCGCACGATTTTTAAATTAAGCCCCTTATCTCCCATGCAACCTAAAATTAGTTTAAAATTAGGACACTTTCCCTGCTCAAAAAGATTTATAGAGATCATTGCATGGTCAGAACCATCTAAGGGAGAAAAGGGAGAAACTGAGCATAAGCTAGGGTCAGAGACAAGACATAAGTCAAGGAGTGAAGGTAAATGATTAGGGTTGTCAGGAAAACGAGTCACAAAGTTAATTATCTAAGTAAGAGATTGAGAAACGCAGAAGTTAAAGGCTTTAGTGCCAGCAGGATCAGTGGTGTTAGAGCCAAGTCATTTAGTATGATGTGCATTAAAATCACCAACAACAACAATAGTGGCAGAGAGGTAAAGAGAGAGGGCATGGTCAATTTGATCAGAGATAACATCTAAAAGAGTGAAATCATGGGAAGAAGGAGAACAATAAAGAACAAAGAGAAAGGTGATAGAGTGAAGAGGTGCTAGGCGAAAGCACATTAAAGAATGGTCAAAGGATTCGAACCTGATTTCACGGCAAATAGGGGAATTAATGCGTATGTATACCCCTAAACCTAGCATGTGACTATTTGAGTCTTTACGAATCAAAGGATAGTACCCATCAAACTAACATCTGAAGAAGGAATTGCAGAATTTAAATTTGTTTCACTGAGTGCAAGCAAGTCTGGTGAATTTTGCAGGAGGTAAGACTCAACTGATGGAAAGTTGCTTCGTAGACCGCGAATATTTGTAAAAGATATATTAAAATATTTAGGTGGTGGGGATGGTTTTTTAGGTTTTAAATTTTTGCTTACTTTGGTCATGATTTGGGTTTAATGAGAACTTGACTCATTCATAGATAGAGCACAGCCTCCTAATCAATGAGCTATGCAGTTGTCTCAGTCCTGTTAATTAACCTTAAGCTGTGACATAGGGCTTCTTATGTGGCCTTGACAATGCACACCAAAAGCATTAACAGGGACACCATCCATGTGCAACATGGCACTGTTAATACTCTGATAATTTGCAGCTGTTGATGGAATCAGCCTCTCTGAGAGCTACCACAGAGTTCGGGAAACCTTACTACCAGCCGGCCTCAGAATCATTAAACTGAGTTTTAGAGCTGTACCCTCATATGGAGATAACAGGAAGAGTTGCATAGCCATTATCAAGGAGGCATAAGCAAAATTCTATGAGTAGAGTCAAGGAGATCAAGCATTCATCATCCTAGGCAGGAAACAATGTAACACAGGTTACATCTACGCCAGCCAAATAGATGAAGAAGGGGTTCGAGGCTGGTTAGCAGAATTTTTCTGCTTACCCCTAAAGTCTTTGGAGTAAGTAGTTAGTTACTGAGTTCACGCTGCATTAGAGTATAAACAGAACATAAACAAACATAAATCAACTTACGGATGAGTCAACACCGCGCCAGAGGTTCAGACAGAACACAAACATACATAAAAAACATAAAAAAACTTATGGGTGAGCGAACACTGCACCAGAGGTTCAGACAGAACACAAACATACATAAAAAAATATAAAAAACATAAACATAAACATAAAGTAACTTACGGGTGAGCGAACACTGCGCCAGAGATTCAGACAGAACACAGACATACATAAAGAACCTAAAGTAACTTACGGGTGAGCGAACACCGCGCCAGAGGTTCAGACAGAACACAAACATACGTATAAAGTAGATTACAGGTGAGCTAATACAGTAACTAAGGCACCTCCAACTATATGGGAAAAAAAAAAAAAAAAAAAAAAATTACTATAGGCATGACTGATATAAGATATTACTGATGACAAGAAGAACACTCCTTCCAGCCTTTGCTTAGAAAGCAAATCCTGCAAGGCAGCAAAACATGGAACAGGTTGCACTGGGTTACATGTTACCAGTAGCAGGATGATCATGAAGACCATACTCCTGACCTGACACATATATATATATATATATATATATATATATACATATATATATATATATATATATATATATATATATATATATATATATATATATATATATATATATATATATATATATATATATATATATATATATATATATATATATATATATATATACACACCTATAGTATCACTTAGAGGGACAGATTTTATACAAAAAGGAAAACTTATTGGGACATTATCGGGGACATTTTTGTGATACACTGAGACTACCAGTGTAAACAGGTTTTAAAAATCGCCCACCAAGTAAATCTCGACTTGTCGAACATGAGCTTTTAGTTTATTTCTTACCAAAGTTTAAAACGTGTATCAGCATATTAAATTCTATTGAAATTATTATAAAACAGCTGTTAGAAAATGCGCATTTGACCACAAGCCACACTAGAATTAATTAGTTTTATGCATGTTTTGTAAAAAATATTAGTTTAAATTTATAAACTAAAATTTTTATAAAAAATACTTTTGATGTAACATAACCCCCCCTCCCCCCCTACTTTTATGAAAAGTTTATTAAATCTGGACTAAAATCTTCCCACCAGCACTTTTAATCCCCCCCTTCCTTTTATCAAGCTCAAGAGTGCCCTCAATTTGCACAAGGTCGCCAACTTTTTTTTAAGAATTGTTAAAGATAGTTATAAAAATGTTTTTTGTTTTAGATACAATAATAATTTAACTTTTGAGAGAAAAAATTATACTTTTGCAAGAGCCGTAAATTGCTCCCGTAAACCGTTTTAGGGGAGTGTGGGCTTCCCACTGAGGCATGTATATATATATATATATATATATATATATATATATATATATATATATATATATATATATATATATATATATATTTAAACAATTAAAAATGTATTCTACAAAAAGAGTGCTCAATGTTCTTAAAAAAACAGAGCAATTCGTAGAAAATTACTTAGCAATTAAGAACATTGAGCAAGAGTGCTCAATGTTCTTAAAAAAACAGAGCAAATTCGTAGAAAATCACTTAGCAAAATTTTTTCTTATTTAACACTGTGTTTCATCAATAAAGACTCATCAAAAAACACATTCGAAAAGACATCATCAATAAAGACTCATTTTCTGATGAGTCTTTATTGTTGAAACACAGTGTTAAATGAGAAAAAATTTTGCTAATTGATTTTCTACGAATTGTTATATGTATATATATATATATATATATATATATATATATATATATATATATATATATATATATATATATATATATATATATATGTATATGTATATGTATATGTATATGTATATGTATATGTATATATATATATATATATATATATATATATATTATATATATATATATATATATATATATATATATATATATATATATATATAGTTATTAAGGGTTAATCATTTTTAGTACTTGTAATTTCTGCATTATTACCATATTAGTTACTATACAAATAATAATGATAATATATAAAGTATAACAAATATAGATAAATAATAATATTTTTTTAGTCTTTATTTTTAATTTTTGTATAAAATGTATTTTAGAATGAATCTTTGTTGCTTGCAAGTAATCGTAAGTAATGTTTACATTATTTTTTCAAAGTGTAAGCTTTGATTCTTCAATATCATTTTCAATATGAATAGATGGATATATGCAAGAAAGATTCAAACTTTTTTTGCATTTAATAAAATATATTTTAAGAAAATCTTAAAAAAGTTATATATATTATTCACAAATTTAAATTTACAGAAATTTAATCATTTTTGTGTTAGTAGAAGTGTTATTATTATTGTGTTTGTATATTGTATTTATATATTGTTTTAATATTATTGTGTTAATATAATATATTTTATTATATTTCTCAATTACCTTTTACTCCTAAATATCTCAAATTAGATATTGAATCCTTCTTGTATATATGCTTCTAAGTTATAGTAGACAAGAAATTTATTACAACTTAGTGCAAGTTACTAACTTTTAAATTTTATCTCCACATAACCCATTGTGTTAAATGATAACAATTTTTTTTATAAATTACAAACCTCTAAAATAAAAGTTTAAACATGCATGTTTTGTTGAAAATTTGTTGTGTAAATTTTGTTGCACCTACTCAAGGTTACCAATACCATGAACCAAGTTTTTGTAACAAAAAAATACTTATAAATTTGATCTTTTGTTTGAAAAGTAAGCAAAAAGATTTTCAACAATAGGTGTAATTTTCTTTTTATGTGATTAAAATATTTCATTAGCAAAATAGAATTGGTACTAGCTAATATTATATATCAAAAAGACAAAAAGTTTTTTTTAGCTAAATTTCATTTAAAAATATCCATTGAACATTGAGCCACATAACTACATTGTGTTTTATAAATTCGCATAAAAACTCACAAATTAAAATGAATTTTTTTTTTTTTTACAGTTTTCAAAATATTTAGATATTAAGAACTATTATTTGAGAAATGTAGGTAAAATATTTTGGAAGTGGTATCTTTAAATTGTCTTCATTTTTATTCATTTTGTAGAAAATAATAAAACTAGGCCACTGATAAATTAAAAAAAAAACTCCAATTAATCAAGGAGATTTTGGGTCTCCAAATTTGATCCATTTTGTAAAAATATTAGGGCAATTTTAGCAACATGAATTTGAGAGACTCATTTCTTTTTAATCTTTTTCCTACTCCGGGTTGATTTCTACAGTAAAAATAAAAATTCAATAAGTTTCACTTTTTGTTGTCTAGAAGTCACAATTCAAAACACCTAAGTTTGAAATTTTACACGTAGTTTGAGTAATAATATCTCCTGAGGCTATAACTTGCACATGACTTCCTTAATTATTTTTGAAAGCAACTTTTTGGAAAAAAAAAAAATGTGCATGCAAGCGCCTGGGACAGTTAGCTGCCAAAAACAGATTTTTGCAGTTAATGTGCTTTGTTAGATTACGCATAACAATTGTGGCCATAGGTCTGCCATGAAAAGTATAAATTATTTGATTTCCTTATACATGAATCTTCCAAATTCTGAAAAAAAAATCAATGTAAAAAGCTTACAGAAGTCCTAGAAGTAGTATTATTTTGCCACATTTTGAACATAAAAAGTACCTAAAAAGTACCCTAGCAACAGTAAAAATATGCTTTGAAACGAGTTCTTTACATTGTCAATATTTAATACTCTAATTAAAAAAAAGATGAACAACAATTTTTTAACAGAACTCTACTAAAGTACTTGATAAAATTAATTTTTAATCTTTTTCAATGAGAGAAAGAACCAAGCATCAATCATTCAAACAACGTCAAAAGTTGAACATTGGAGAAAGTTTACCTTGGTTAGCCACTTGAAACAGTTCTATCTAGGCAAGCCTTCCCAGGAAAGGTGTGCTGTTTTTTGTCTTGTATGACCACGCATGAGTATTTAAGTTTAGACAACTTGGTCACGGCCGTTTAGAAGTTTTATTATATGTGTTGCTAAAAATTGTTTTAAAAACAAAGAAAGCAAAATAACAAAATAGGAAATTAAAATAAACTTAAATAGAAAATAATGATAATATTTTAAATAATTTGTGAACTGTTTTTATTTTTGTTTCTTTGTAGTGGTTATTATTTTTGGCAACAAAATTCAGTAAGTCAAAGCGAAAAAAACAAAAAAAAAAGTTTTAATCATTAAATAGGATGACTTTCCTACATTTTATTTGTTTTTTTTAAAGAGGAAAGCGAAAATATGTTTCATCATCTGTTTGTAAAATATGTTTGTATAATTTTAATGTTACAATTATATATCAAGGGTTAAATTAAGCGTTCGCAATTTGCAAACTTTGGAAAAATATCTGGTCTTCAAAATTTTAATTTATGCAAAGCTGCATACTTTGTTTTCAAGGAGCAAATTATTATAAGTTTGTTAGCAAGAAAGGTGTAAAAAACAAAGCAAAACAATAAACTTACGACTACAAAAGTAATAACACTTAAGCCACTAATTGCATTATAAAAGTAATAAAACTATAATAGTGTTATAAATTTATAAAGCACTTATTACTTTTAAAGTTCATTCTTTGTTCAAACAACAAATTCCAAACATTAATTAAAGCAGAAAAGCATCTTAAAAAAAATAAAGTGGTTACTCAAATATTGTTAAAAACTTCAGGAACTTTTACAAATAACTTAAACAGCTTTATAAAAAGTTTAAGAGTTACTAATAGTCCATAAAAAATGCGCGTTAAATTTAAAATCAATTAATTTTCATTAGTTGATTTTAAAATTAACGCGCGTTTTTACGGACCATTAGTGACATTTTTCATAATGCTTAACTTTTTATACATTACGTTTGTCACGTTTTTATAAGTTTTAAATATTATTTAAATATCCACTCTATTCTTCTAATTCCTTTTTTACTTCAATTAAAATTTGTGATGACTTATTTTGATTTAACAAAGAATGAATTATAATAGTTATAAGTTTTTTTTTTTTTAACATCTTCGCTTCCAACAAGGCTGCAAGCAACCACTAATTTGTGTTGGAAGTTACTGAAAGAGAAAAGATGAAGATTGTAGAGCAAGATAACGATTGACAGACAACTTATAAGATTGCAAATTATATGAATCAGGAAAGCAAGATGAAGGAAGCTAATTCCAAAGAACTGATGTTTGAAGAAAAAAACTAGATGAACAAAAACTAGAAGCAACATTACGACAATGTGACAGAGGTTGAAGGTTGGCTGCAAGAGCAGGTCAAACTATGTTTACAATACATTTTTGCACCTTGTCTAAAAGAGAAAGGGCATCATTAGAAGATCCGCCCCAGATTTGGCAACAGTATTCCATACAAGGCTGAATTTGAGTAAGAAAGTCCAGAAAGAAATCCAGAGTAAAAAAGTGACGAGCTCGATAAAGAGAAGCAACTTTAACAGATGCTAATTTTGCAACAGATTTGATATAAGGTTTCCAAGAAAGATCAGAAGTAAGAGTTAATCCAAGAAGATGAAGGGTAGGAGACTCATCGAGTACATTACCGTTCATAAATATAAGAAGGTCTAAACTATTGCAATAACGGTTGGTCGAAAAAAATTGAGTTTTATCTGAATTAAAGTTCACCAGCCACTGTGAGCCCCAAGTTGTAGCAGAAGTGAGATCTTTTTCAAGCTCTGATGCCCCCTGCAAGCAATGAGAGGGAGTTAACTTCTTATCGTGACAAGAATAAATGATAGTATCATCAGCGAACAATGCCACCTTAGATGTGAGAAGATCTGGAAGATCGTTAATGTAAATTAAAAAGAGTATAGGGCCAAGGATTGAACCTTGAGGAACCCCTGAGGTTACAGAATAAGAAGAAGAGTGCTGGCCATCAAGGACAACTTTTATACTACGATTGGAAAGGAAGGATTCAATAATCTTAATGATGTTTCCAGATACACCGTAAGAAGAAAGCTTATGGAGAAGACCAGCATGCCAAACTTTATCAAACGCTTTAGAAATGTCAAGAGCTATGGCCTTAACCTCTCCACCTTTGTCTAATGCGCGATAAAACCTATCGGTTATTACTGATAGCAAATCAGCCGTAGAACGAGAAGATCGAAATCCATATTGATGATCAGAAAGTAGGTTATGAGGTTAGAGATGAGAGATTAAGTGTTTGTTAATTAAAGATTCAAAAACCTTGCTTATGATAGGAAGAAGACTAATGGGACGGTAGTTAGTTGAATCGGATCGCTCTCCAGAATTTTTAAAAATAGGGATAACAGGTGCTTCTTTCAAAAAACAAGACTCTGATAAGCACTTGTTAAATAGTCTTGAAAGGATAGAGGACAGCTCCGGAGAACACTTCTGCAAGACTATAACAGGTATGTTGTCTGGGCCGGAAGCTGTAGAAGAGTCTAAGCAGGAAATCACTTTAGATACAGAAGCTGGAGTGATATGGATGTCAAGCAATGGATCAACCTGTTTGACGGCTATATCAGGTAGAACGCAACTAGTGGAATCAAGAGATGATATTGATGAAAAGTTCTTGGCAAACAATTCAGCTTTGTCTTTAGGAGAGGTGACAAAGTCTGAACCATACAAAATAGGTGGAATTAGACTTGCCTTTATTATTGATACTATTAAAGATTCTCCAGAAGTCGCGAGAGCCTAACTTTTGTTATGAAATACGAGATTTTATGATCTGAGAATAGCGGGCTTTGGCGTTAGACAAAAGCTTTTTACAATGGTTCCTAGCAGTAATAAACAGACGTCTGTTTTCTGGAGAATTGTTTTGTTGATAGATATGGAAGTAATGGTTTCAATTGGCAATTGCAGCAGCACAATGTGAGGAAAACCATGGAGAAGAGTGAGGCTTGACCTGGAATCGTCGAGAGGGAATAAAGGATTCTATGCTAGCCTGAATCCACGAAGTTACGTAAGAAGCACATTTGACAACAAGAAGACGAAAGATTTCTACCCAGGGGCCATCACGAAGAGAATAACAGAAAGAGTCCATGTCAGCTTTAAGGTAGTTGTAAGATATACGATGATAGGGGGATTCTGATGATCAAGAAGAATGAGATAATAGTTTAGAGAGACCAAACTATGATCGGATGCACCTAAGGGT